AAGCGTTTCAGTCAAAGCAAAGTGATCTAAAACGGAAAGGCATAGGCAAAAAGCCTAATGCTTCTGCTGCTTTAAGTGAGGAAGATATTCAAGTTCTGTTTGAAAAAGATCTCTTGGGAAGTTCCACGGTAGAAGCGCTTTTAAACACGGTATGGTTCAACAATACAATTCATTTTGGGCTACTAGGCTGCGAGGAGCACAGGGAAATGTGTTCAAGGGGAGACGTAAAACTTTGTCAAAACTTCTACATGGCGGGAGTACCTCGAATTCAATGAAAGAGAAACCAAAACTCGCTCAGGAAACCATCCACGGAATGTAAGAGCCATTGCACTGAAAATGTTTGCTGTGCCGAACAACCAGAATGTCCAGTAAAGGCCTACAAAGTCTACGCAGAAAAGCGACCCGCGGAAATGAAAACCGACGATGCATCGTTTTTACTTTGGCAGTAAATAATGGAAAATCTGGAAACAACAACGTGCTGCCAACTGATGTTATGCAACTGTCAGGACACAAAAACGTTCAAAGTATCACTAGCTACTCTACCGTCTCACAGAAACAACAGTTGAACATGTCTCACACTCTCACTGGAAAGTTTGACTCGCCATTTTTTAGCGAGCAATGGAATCAGATGGCCGCTCGCATTAATACGAAATTTAGAGGAAAGAGGAGGACTCTTATTCACAGACTTCAGAAAACTAGTTTGTTTTGAAAACAGAAAGATGGCATAATTAGTCTATCTTTTCCCACAAAAAAATTATGGGTCGGTTAATTAAACGAAGTTAGCTATTGTTTAACAAAGCCGCGTTCTAAGTTATTCTAAATGTGGCTAATCTTAGCGAGTAAATGGTAGTTAAAATAGAGGTGATGCAAATTCAAGAGAGATGTCTCAGCGAAACATTTTCATTTCTGTCACGATAAAGGTGATTTAAAAGGCTTCCAAACAAACTTTGAAACATTATTTTTACAAGTATCTGTCACAATCTGACACCTGTCAATTGGAGAGCGCGTAACAAAAAAATGCGTAAGAACATTTGAAAAACAAGGGAAATAGTTTGGCAAGGACTTTCTCTACAATGTTTTCTTCAAAAACAGCCAATGATCTAACGGAAAGTATTATTCACTCTCATCCCCGATTCATTCGTGTACGAAGATTTACCTCTGTTCATTAAGTAAGCGGCGAGGAAAGTAATTGTGAGTAAATTCAAATTTTTTATTTTGAAGTTGTGAGAGTTTCCTCGTTTGTTTGCTGCAATGGCGTGTGTAAATCTGGTCTTTCCTTCAAAAAAACTGAATTCGAATGGCACACTCCAACAAGACACAAGGGGATTTAATGCGGCTTTTTCTCAAAAAATTCCTTCAGTTTCTTTGTGCAGTTTACGCTACAAATGTCCAAATTGAACGGACTTGGAAAGACTCACTGAGAGTGTATATTTGTTGTAGAACTTAAATTAAAACTTCGCTCGCTCTTTCACAACGAACGAATTGCTTGAGAAAATTCAGGTATCAAATGAATGAAAGTTCCATCGTTTAACTGTAATGAAATACCGCACGTTTTAACTTTCTAGGTACTTTTTGTGGACGATTAAAATTAACTGCAGACGGTTTTTAGGCCGCTTGTCAACCAACGTAATGACACTATTGCTTATACAAATTCATTCTAAAACCAATATTTTTCTGTCAACCAAAGTGATTTGAGAGAGAGAAAAGAGAGGATTCATAAGTTATTTATCGGCTTGAGGTAGTAACCGACTTGTTTGCTTAAAAATACCGCGTAGCCGGAAAAACGAGATATATTTATGAAAAATGGCAACGAAATTTGGGATGTACTTCACGAAAGCGTTACAGAGGCCCGTGGGCAGAGATAGGAAAATACTGACCGGGTAAAGAACCAATCAGATTGCAGGATTCGTTACCGTGCCCTCTTTAAAAAAAAAATAATTTGTATATGAGGTTGTCATATTTTTCCCGTTTTTTTTTTTTTAAATTATTTATCCCTTCATCCAAAAAAGAATATTTAGAGGAAAATTGAAACACGACCTAAGTACTGAACCACATAGAATATTTTTGACTTGTTAATGAGGCTATTTAAGGAAGAGGGAAAGGTTTCAAAGGGCGAAATTCTACCTCAGAATAATTCCGTTAACAAATTTCCCTAGAAATATTTCTTAGATAATCTATTTCGCGAACAAATCTTCCTCAACTAATGCATATTTCAAAGGAAATTTCATAGTCCAAGTGTTAATACGGCTGCAGCCATACGGCCACTCCAGATGGATATTGCTACTGAAAATGCCTGATGGTAAATTCTTCAGTTGGTTGTTGTTCAACAGCCTATCAAAAATAAGTCAATCTATTTTCAATCGTATGGTATACGATAACAAAGTTCAAAGAATGAGAGGACTCGAAAAAAGGTGGAACCTCTCTTCTCCGAAAAAAAAAGACAAACAAAACAAAAAAACCAAAGAAAGTAAAAGCTTTGGCATTCCTCTGTGCAAACAAGCAAACAAAAACAAACGAACAAGGAAAGGTGTGGGTACCGATTTGTTACCGATTCACGTGACATTTTCCAATTATGATCTACTCACGAGAGCGTCCAATTAGTTTATTTAATTTAGAAGTATTTTATTTTCAACATGAATACCTTTTTTCCTTGTAGGAAAGGAAAGACTCAAGTAATTTTTACGCTCATAATGTGTCACTTTATAGTTTAAGCGTCATTTTTTTGCTTGATTTATCTCTTTGCTTTAGGCCTATGCTCCTACAAAATGCCTTGAATCCACAGCAAGAAAGAAAAGATTGCTATTTCTTTTCTCTTTGCTCAGTAACCGGGCTTTATATCATCCGCACGCGGAGAAGCTTGTTCCAGCTTCTGACAGTTGTTTATCAACTGTCATTTCCTCTCGTGAGACGAAGGAGGCAAGTACAATAAAATGAGCATCATTTAATTGAGTACTAAACATGGCCTCTGATAAAATGTATTTGCAAAAAGTCATCACAAAAAATCAAACGCTGAAGTGTGTCAGAATTTTCCAGCAATCCAACTAAGAGAGGGTGTCAGTAGCTCAAAATTCGTTTTCACTCCTACTTTCATATTTTGTAGCCCAATATGTCCTGATAATTGTGGTGCAGTTTTTTTTGTGAAAATATATTTAGTTTTCGAGAAATGACTTTTCTCGTTCCACCGCTCAAATATGCAAATTTTTACCGTGAATATTACCCGAGTTGTGTGACCTCGTGTCATGAATTAACTTGACCTCCGGTATTTCTGTTAACATAATCCTTTGTTTTATCCTCAAAACTTAATCCCCTGACATTGCTGAAGCTGGCAGAGAGATATCTATTTTTTGGTGAATACTTTTGTCCGACATACTTTTCCCATGTCGAAAAGTAGCATCAAAACAAAGACAGTTTTAACAATAACCGACATGACAGAATCTACTAAGCTTCTAGCTTTTAAAAGACAAAAGGATAGTTATAAAGTTACTGTAAATATTTACCTGTGTATTTGCGTTGTTCCATCTTGAGACGAACTCAAAGTCCGGCAAAATTTACTTGCTAGCGACTATGAAATACACATGGTGTGCCTACTTGCCACCGTTTACTGTCATAAACTACTACAGTAACTTTATAACCATCCTTTTGTCTTTTAAAAGCTTGAAGCTCAGTAGATTCTCTTTTTTCTTAATAACTCGACTGCATGTTACATTTTTATTATTTTTTCCTTTTTTTGCTTTTGTTTTAAATGGGTTGTTCAGGTAATAAACTTAAATTTATTGAAAAAAAATCGCCGATGCAAAGTCATTAACAACGAGATTCAGAGAAAGTTTTTGTTACAAAATTTTTGTCTGGGGCTACTTTCATATTCCATTTTACATTATATCTTACACTTTTCTGTTCATGAAACTTTCTTTACATTTATGAACGCAAGAATCCTCTCTCTAAAAAACAAAGCAATTTATCTGGTTTAATGTTGTACACATTTCTCATTTCCTAAATATTCCAGCCACCCCTCAGAGACATTAAAAAATATTTTACACCCAAAAGGCTTGGAAAAAGGACACAATGGAAACAAACCCAATTTAAGCGCTCGAAATAATGGCTATCGGTACAGAGAAAAAACTTTTTCCCCATTGCCTGGTTTTGTTTCCTATCACAAATCATTCTCGGAATTATTATTTGTGACCCTCCACGGATTTCAAGGAATCAGGGGAACGCACACACTCGGCACGTTATAACACGCTCGCGGGCCAGTAGCATAACACGCTTATCGTGCAGACATGCACATAAAAACAATTGATTCTGGAAGGCGTGTTGGTAGCCATTTTCCATATCTGGCCAGCGCGGTAGAGCTTTGAATCTATAACTCGCTATAACTCGCCGCTCCTCTTGACCGACAAATTGCACATTTCTAAGAGCTTAGGCGCACTTTTTTTTTAAGAAAGATGGCTTAAAATCAGATTAACTGTTTTCAGAGCCTAGATTTATCAGTAGAAGAGTTCATAGACGGACAGAAAATGAGAATACTAAGAAAAAGACTAAACAATATGTTACTCTGTTCCATGAATTTCTTGTTTTGGAAGGCAAGACGAGGCAAATGAACGAATGACCCCTCAAGCGCTGAACAAGTTTAGTTCCTTCTAACGGTTCGCAGAAAAGAAGACAACTAGGAATACGAGCCTAATTCCTTACGGGCACTTTTCGCTAGCTTTTAGCGCCATTTGAAGAAAAATGAACTATGGACTTTGTCTTATGACGAAAAACACCAAAAAAAAAACCAAACAAAAAACACGACGTTGCTCTGTTCCATGAATTTCTTGTTTTGAAAGGCAAGACGAGACGAATGGAAGAATGACTCCTCAAGCTGAACAAGTTTCTCAGCGAGTTCCTTATAACGGTTCGCAAAAAAGAACACAACGAGGAATACGAGCCTAATTCCCTAAGGACTTTCTTCGCCAGTTTTCAGCGCCATTCGAAAAAAAATATACTATGGACTTTGCCTTATGAAAAACGTCCAGTTCGAGCAAACTCAGAAAGCGCCTAAGTCAAAGCAAAGGGAACTAAAACGGAAAGGTATGGGCAACAAGTCTAATGCTTCTGCTGCTTTAAGTGAGGAAGATATTCAAGTTCTGTTTGAAAAGGATCTCTTGGGAAGTTTCACGGCAGAAGCGCTTTTAAACACGATATGGCTCAACAACATAATCCATTTTAAGTTACTAGGCTGCAGGGAGCATAGACAAATGTGTTCAAGGGGAGACGTAAAACTTTTTCAAAACTTCCATAGGGCAGGAGTACCTCGAATTCAATGAAAGAGAAACCAAAACTCGTTCAAGAAACGATCCATGGAATGTAAGAGCCATAGCACCGAAAATGCTTTCTGTGCCGAACAACCAGAAATGTCCAGTAAAAGCCTACAAAGTCTACGCAGAAAAGCGACCCGCGGAAATGGAAACCAACGATGCACCGTTTACTTTGACAGTACTCAATGTAAAATCTGGCAACAACGACGTACCGCCAACTGCTATTATGCAACTGTCAGGACACAAAAACGCTCAAAGTATCACTCGGTACTCTACCGTCTCACAGAAACAACAATTGAATATGAGTCACACTCTCACTGGAATGAGTTCGAGAGAATTAACTTCCCAGTCTGGCTCTTCTATTCCGGAGAAAAGAAAGCACGAGTTTGACGAACTCACTTATCCAACATTTCGTCCATTTTTTTCTCAGCAAAGCAAGCAAGCAGCACAGCAGCCCGTTTCTCTTTTTTTCGGGTGCTGTTCTAAGTGGAGGACACATAGGTGTGGCAATAAACACTTTAAATCAATCGCCCACATTTTCAGTGTGAGAGGAAAACCCTAGCAAAACTTACAAAAGAATCAAACCTCTTGATTCGGGTTCTTACTGGTGTTTGTCAATTCAAGCATGCGGGTCGTCATAAGCAACAAAAAATGAAGTCTTGGGTTTTTCGACATATTTTCAGGATGTCTTATTTCATTCTTACTAGCTCTGCCTTTTAACAGTATTTTTGCTCTATAATTTAAATGTAAAGTATTTTACAAGGAAGCCATTTCAGTGCAACTCTCGAACTGTGAGGGCTTGACCGCGCGTTGTTTTCCTTTGAAAGAAAATAAAGATATGTTTATCTTTGAGTTCTGTTCGCTTATAAATCCAGGAACGTATATGATAAATAAGTTATTTCACGGTTGCTTCACTTGTACGAATTTTATTCACTCGTTGTGAATAAACAACCTAAACAACCTACAATTGTACGCTAATCTTGACATCTTACGAGCTCTTCGTCTTTAGCACTGCGGTATATACCTTGCGCAACGCAAATTTAACGTGAGGATAATTAAATTTAACATAGTCGAAGGTACTAACGAGTCTTTTTTAGCTCGCAAACTCAAACTCCTCTGGACCCTGTGCGTGTATTCACTTGCTTTTGGTTTCCATAGTTAGGTCATTTACACTACAATATGTTTACACGCGCAAAGGAACAAGCAAACGCTTCGTAGTCGTTCATTATCAAGTTTCAAAATGCAATTACTCATTCTTACGAGATGGTTAGGTGCAACACGTCGAGAACTAAAGGTTTCCACCGGTTGGACAGCGGAAAATTAGGCTTTCTTGTGCCCGTTTTACAAAGAAAGTTTGACTCGCCATTTTTTTAGTGAGCAATGGAATCAGATAGCCGCTCGCATTAATACAAAGTGTAGAGGAAAGAGAAGGACTCTTATTCATAGACTTGAGAAAACTTGTTTTGAAAACACAAAGATGGCACACTTAGTCTATCATTTCACACAAAAAATTATGGGTCAGTTAATTGAACAGAGTTAGCCATTGTTCAACAAAACTGCCTTCTAAGTTATTTTAAATGTGGCTAATCTTAGCATATAAACTTTACTAATTATGGGGAGCCTAAAGAGGGTATAAAACGCAGACTAGAAAATCATCTATCTGCCCAGAATAATGAATTAACAAACAGGTTAGGTGACGACAGTCAAAGAAATAGGAATAAAAGGAATAAAGTTTGGTAAATAGACTGTCAGTTAATAAAAAAAAGCATATTAGATATTTAATGATTTTGTTCACTCCTTCAGTTTTTACAGTAACTTTATAACCATGCTTTTGTGTTTTAAATCTGGAAACTCAGTAGATTCTGTCATATCGGTCATTGTTAAAACTGTCTTTGTTTTGATGCTACTTTTCGACATGGGAAAAGTATGTCGGACAAAAATATTCACCAAAACCTAATTAATTCTTTACCAGCTTCAGTAATGACAGAGGATTAAGTTTAGATGATAAAACAAAGGATTATGTTAACAGAAATACCGAAGGTCAAGTAAATTCGTTACATGAAGTCACACAACTCGGGTAATATTCATGGTGAAAATTTGCGTATTTGAGTGGTAAAACTAAAAAAATTATTTCTCGAAAACTAAAACATATTTCCACAAAAAAACCTACACCACAATCATTAGGACATATTGGGCTACCAAACATGAAAGTAGGAGTGAAAGCAAATTTTGGGTGACTTGCTGCTGTTTGTCTGATGCACGTTGACATTAGCTCTTAATTTTCTTTAAATTGAGCTGCCGAGTTTAAGCACCGAAACATTTGCAAACCAGATGCGTTCCTAGGCTATCAATAGAATATTTGTGGCGAAAAAGAAAAAAAAAAAGGCCGACATCGTTTTTTTTTCCTTCATTGTTCTAGCAACGTTCGGACCAAATCTCGTGGATTCCGTCAATTCTATATTTGAACGGTAGAGAGCTTTTTCTGTGTTTATATATTCTCATCTAAACACGAAGGGAAGCTGGGAGAATCCAAGAAGGTCATGGAAACGTTAGACACAATTAAGACTTTGCATAGAAAGTTAGTTAATTTAGAAAGTATCCAAAAAAATTATTGCCTATTCATGTTACTTGTTTATTTTCTGTAACGAACTTATCCAAGATTTAGAATCAAGCGCGAGCGGACGAACTCCCTTTTCCTAGCATGGAAGATGTAACCCTCCAGTGGCTACCCAACCTTCCTCCCTGCCCCTTCCTTCCACCTTAATGCTCGGAGGCTAATTAGTCTTAGAACTAATGGCCTGAGTGGATACATCATAAATTTTGTCTGATTGATGACTAAAAAGCCTAGCCTTAGCTACTGATATTTTTTAAAACAATGATACACTTTGTGACTTTGGTGAATATGTCTGATCATTGCAATGTTGTAACTGTCACAATTATCCCTGTAAGTCTTTCGCTGTCCCTACTCATCGTCCCTGTACATTGCCTGCATGATTAAAATTAGAAAGAATAGCCTTCACTGTTGACTTACAGCACTTCTAATTCGATATTGTTCATAAATATGTCTTTTGGCAAATTCTCCAACTGGTTGTTGTCCAAGAGCCTGTCAACAAATGACGATAGTTAGTCTTCAGCCGCATTACTGATATAAACGTATTACCATTATCACCAATATCTTCAAGTGACAAGAAATGTTTTTGGTAAGAGCCCATGTTGCTCATAGTACAGCAACGTATTTATATTTTCAGGTAAATCTGTCAAGGCCATTATTTAGTTTCGTTTATCAGGCGCAAATGTCTTTTAAGACATCCATCCGTAAGTAACACATTCGTCAATCTATTATTTTCCACAGGAAAGATTTTAATGTCGGCATGGGAAACAACATGATATTCGAGTTTCTTAACGGGGCTTTTCCTTACCATTATAAAATAAGGTGAAAACACAAACAATAGTTTATGCAAAAAGAGCATTTGAAATAGCTTAGACAATTTTCGTGATTTTGCCCTTTTTGTGATTGAATTCGAAAAGTTCAATCAGAAGTTCCCTGTGATGTATGTAGCGAACGATTTTTCCTGAACCGAGCGATTTGATAAAATATCCTTGGTCAAGTGTTGGTTCGGCCTTATCAAAAGCGATAGTCCATAAAAAAGAAGCCAGATCGAAAAGCTGCGGACAGACAGGCCCATTGATTTGGCTCAAATTTTGCATATAAAGTTGGTTTTGATCATGAAAGAGATATTTTAAGATTGAAATCTATTTTTGTAAAAAATTGCGGCTCAAGGCCATTTGGAGACCCTCAAGAACATGGAAACGAGGCTGGTTAAGAGAAACTTTTCAATGTCTGGGCTTCCTTTGCTTTCTCGTTTTTGTGTCTTTTTTATTATCATCATCATTATTTCTATCATAAAACAAGTGTATAATTCTTCCTCTCTGGTTCGAATAGTAAATTTCGTAGCAAAAAAAAAATTAAGTAGTTGAACGCGCTATTCAATTTACTCAGTTTTAGTTGTCTTAATATTCCTGAAAAATACCGTAAATTCAGAAGCTTTTAGTACTGTTCACATGTCGAGTTAGAACAATTTGATAGTTTCTAAAACATCAGCTGTCAGAGATTATTTGCTACTGTGAGTTCAGGGCAGGGCAACTTCAATGCGCTGCCACATCTCCCAGTAGAATATGGTTTCTGGTGCTTTAAGTCGCAGTCTCTCTAGAAGCGGACCGGTGCATTTCGGTTTAAAACAATTGATCTCTTTCAAACTATTCCCATGAATCGGTCTTAGTCTAAAAGAATACGAAGCAACCTTGATTTCCCGAAATAATGAAAACTAAATTTTTCCCGTGCGAAAATCCGTTCTGCGCTCGAAGGCCTATTTTTTGATTAATTATCATAAATGGCTCGTTTTTTCACAAAATTCTTGTTTGAAGAACTTTTTCGCTTCGCATATTTAGATCGATCATTTATAAGAACAAATCACGTAATTTTTCATTTTTCAATGGTTTTTGACACTGAAAATTATTTTTTCGCTTAACACCTATTTCCCTCTGCTGCCATGACCGTAAACATACAACTTTCAATCTCGCCTCTGCTTAAAAGTCCAACTTAAATAATTAAAATAAGAGAGAGTGGTATGTAAATTCGAAAATATATTGTGATTTCGGTTAAATTTTTTTAGCAGAGCGGGCTCATTTTTGAAAATTACAAGCAACACTGCACAAAGAGCGGACTTAACTATATATCAAATTTACGTATACAACTTATGGTGGATGCCTGAATTGAGCACTTTGAAGCTTCTTTATGCTTGTTGATGCCATAAAACAGCATTTAGAAGGGAAAACTCTCAATTCCATCCGCCGAAAGTTGACTCTTCGCCCTGAGCGACCTATTGTTTTCTTTATCACTCAGAGCTCAAATGAAAAATGCAGGAAATGGCACTTTCGAGACGCTAGATTTAAAATCTTCTGTAAGAGCATGCTCCTAGATTCATTACTTTGGACGGCCTTCGGCGCTC